AGGATCGGGGAAATTAAATGTACAAACTGCCAGTTGTAGGCAAATCACCATTAATACCTGTAGATTGATTTCAATGAGGCAAAGGTGTTTTCTGCAGCTTTTCTGCTTCCTCTCTCTTTCTGCACTCAGTTCATGTCCCATTAATCCATGTTACTAACTTCACTTCTTCCCCGGAGTTTTTGTGCTTTCTCGTCTCGCAGGTCTCATGGATCCTGGTGGAGCCTCCTGCCATGGTCCTGCTTGACTGTTATTGCTAATACTACTGATATTATTTTTACTACTTTTGTTGCTACAGTTACTGGTTATTGCTGTGGTCGCTCGCTCGTTGTCCCCCATCGTTGTTGTCGCCATCCTCTTCATGTTCATCATCATCGCTCACGTCTGTCTGTCTGTCTGTCTGTCTTATGAATTGGCGCTATACAAATAAAATAATATTGAATTGAAAAAAAGATTTCCCACTCCTTTTAAGAAATAATTTTCCCAGACTTTTCCATGATATCTTCCAGGAGTATTAGTTTAAACGATGGTCAGCGTCTGACTACAGTTTTCAATAAACCTTAACAATTTCTTTTATTTTACAGAAAATTACAGATGTTTTAACTCTTCTCCTGACTGGCTTCAGTAAGAGTCTCACTACCTTATATGGTTCATTGATCTGACTGGTTGAAGTTTGCTGTGATAGACAGATGGTTCATCCGATCACCTGCCAAGTATTTTTTTAAAGTGCCTGCCCTTTTCCAAACAGCTTCCAATGATGACTTCCCAGCTGTGACAGTCAGGTTAGAGTGGAGTTATAAACTCAGAAATACCAACAGAAAATATGTTGTAATTATTTATTTTTAACAAAATAACACTGTTCCATCACATCTGCACAGTGGCACTAGGATTTATCCACAACTTCAATGTATGAGTAGAAGTAAAACAGATTAAGAAAGTATCAACGTTTCATACAAACTGAGATAAGCCACTGCAGCACTTCAGGGCACATATCAAATGCACTTTAGTTTAGTTGTAACCTAGCTGTCTCCTGACCTGTGGGGGATCATATAATGAGTAGATATGTTGTATAGTATTCAGACAATACAACAATGATAAAATGCCAACACTATGCAACATATAAACTATGTTCATAGAGAACTAGCCGTACCTCTTTATCACTCGGAGAGAATCGAAAGCCTGATAAGCACAGATGTTTCAAAAGGTTAACCCAATTTACCACTTTATTCATTTGAAATTAAAAGTTTAACACTCTACAGTCTAGAGACTTCAGTGAACTAAGCAGTCTTATAAATGTAGTGAAAGAAACTTTATCTTTGACCGCAAATGTTTTTTGGTTTTCTGTTCTCGTGACTGCCAAGAATTTCCAGCATATAGCCCTTTGTTTTCTCACCAAGCCAGAAACAATTTACATTAAATTTTGTGTAAAGGAGCAGTGTGTAGGATTTAGTGGCATCTTGCAGTGACATTGCAGATTGCAACCAACTGAATACCGCTAAATACAGCATGTAAGTGTAACTGTATTAGTCCATGACTAATGCAGATTGATGCTGTATGTAGCTCTACAGAGATTTTTCGCATCTTTCTGCTAGGACCAGTGAGCAGGATTTAGTGGCATCTAGTGAAGTTGCAGCTTGCAACTATTTGAATACCATTCAGTCTTCCAATTGTGTAGGAGAAACTACAGTGGCTCTGAAACTCACAAAAACCATGAAAGGCCAGTGTTTGGTTTGTCCATTTCAGGCTACTGTAAAAACATGGCGGTTCAGAGGACCTGCTCCCTCTTATAGATCACTTTAAAAGGGAAACGCAATGATTCTTTTTTTCACATGAATATACACTACTGCAGGGGTAGGCACCTGGAGCTCCAGACCCGTGTGACTCTTAAGCCCCTCTCCACTGTCTTCTTGTGGTTTTGACAAAAAATTATATGGATATGAATATCTGTTTGTTTCATTTTCATTATCATTGTTGTAGACCTAAAGTGATTCTTACATTCATTCAATTGTAAAAATGTGTAGCCATTACACACCCAATAAAAAAAAAAGCACACGTTCTGACCTGGTGCCTTTTCCTCTATAATTTTCCAAACCTGAATAATAGTGGCTACTAGTAAGTCTCCCTAGCTTGGCTAGCTATTGATTCAAAATCCAAAACAAAAAGAAAAGTCACGGAGGAAAACACAGAATTTAATAATGCTGCCCTCCAAAGGCTACAGCAACTATGCCAACACTGAAACTGAGAAATTGCTTTAAAGATTTTAACTGTCCAGCTAAATGCATTACAGGTAGAACTGTGGTTATTTGCTTAAATATGCATTATTTAAGTCATTTTCATGGCTTTAAAATTGAGACCAATTATTGGACCTATGACCCCAAAAATGCAGATAGTACTCTCTGTAATTACTGTACTCTGCCTTACTCTGTTTATGGTAATACAAAGACAGTTTTGGTGTCGTCCTCCTTTTTTTCCCTTAATACCTTAAATCTGTATTTCTTACTGTTTGCATGTTTAGAAAGTTAAAACAGATGAGTAATTAAGAAGCAATTTAAGCAATCCTCAAATGTTATTTTGAGGTGTTTAACCTATTAAGATGACTTGACATGTTTACTTAATCGTACAATTTATGTAGACTTGCTTTTAGAATTAGATTCTTGTCTTATAAATAAATAATCAAGTCTATGTTATTAAAGGTTAAAATTGTTGTAATGTTTTTTGTATAGGTTACAAGTTGAAGTTACATAAATTATGACTTAGTATGCATTGTAACAATTTCCGGTTTAAGATTGTAAAGATTGAACTCCATTTTAAACACAATCATTGTTACAGCAGTTTGGCTTTGTAGGGCAGAATAGTATGTGGACATTTGATTGCTTCCACAATAAACGCTGATAGCTTACTATTATGCTTGATCTGTGTCAAGAAATGAGCAATAAGGCTAATTTTGTCTTTTTTTGGCCAACAATGGCTCTTTTGATGGAAAAGGTTGCTGACCCCTGCACTAATGAAAACACATACATATATACATATATATATACATACATATATACACATATACATACATATATATATATATATATATATAATATATATATATAATAAATTATATAGTATCATATTATATATATACACACACACATATAACATATATATATAATACACACATAATTACAATATATATATATACACACATATACACATATAATATATACACACACATATACACAGTATCGTATATAGTATCTATACACACACATATACACTATATATATATATATACACACACATTATACACATATATATATAATAACAACATTATACACTATATATATATATACACACACATATTACACATATATATATATTATACGCTATTATATATATATATATTATATATACGCTATATAATATACGTATATATGCTAGTATAGTATATACACGTAGTATATATTACGTTTTTTTTTTTTTTTATATATACGTATTACTGTAGTATATACCGTATTATATATAGTATATTACGATAACTAAGATATATATACTATTATACGTCATTATATACACGTATAGTATAGTATACGTATATGATATACGTATAGTATACTATATACGTATATATATATATAGTACGTAGTTATATTATAGTATAGGTGATATATATACGTATATATGTTATATATACGTATATATATATATACGTATATATACGTATATTATATATATATACGTATAGTATATATATATACGTATAGTATACTACGTATATATAGTATAATACGTATATATAATAATATACGTTATATATATATATATCGTAGTATAGTACGTATGATAGTACTTATAGAGTATTATAGTATATCATATATATAGTATTTATATATATATATATATATAGGTGCTCCTAAATGATACACACTGGACCTATTATATTTGGTGGTACTGTAGGTTTTCCTGCATATAATTCTTCAAGTTGTTTTGGATTGTGTTGAGTTGTCATTACTGCTCAAGTACACAATGTAGAAATTATGACTGAATACTTTTTAAACAGTTGAATACAAATTCTGTGTCACTATACTGTTTCACTGCAGTGACATTTGGAAGATAAGCATTTACCAAACTTCAGCTTCCACATTCCCCTCAGAAATGATAAAATGAATGAAAATGCGCAAGAATTGCTAACCAGTCAAATCACAATTAACTAATCTCTTGTTGAAGTTACACAGGATACTGCACTGAGGTGAAACAAAAAATCTCTGGTAAAAGGTTGAATTAATTGAGTGTTAGTTGGAGGTTCAAATGTATGTAGAATTCACCTCTGACCTTAGCCTGCATCACTGATAAATGTGGTTAGGTTGTGCTTTGTTGCACCTGTATTAAGTTGCTTTTTAAAAAGCTCATAAAATGAATGATCTCCTGCCTTAGTGCCTATACTGTGTTTCTTTTGCACTCTAGTTTAAAAGCAATGCAGCTATGTGCAACACCATAAACTAAATCCACAGATGAGTGACTTTAGACACAGGGGCTCTGAAGATAACAGTCAATCGGAACTCCTGTTACTGCAGTGTGAATTTAACCACATTATTTCTAGGGTGGCACACTAGCCGCATTGCTTTACCTGAAATCCACAATGTAAAGTGCACCAAGAGCTACAAAATGGAATATAATACTATAGGAAGACTCAATTGTCGGCAGAAAAGAGAGGAAATCTGGTGCTATTTAAATAAAACTGAACTGATGGAAAAATCTACAGTATTTGTAGACCATTTTGTTAAATACCATCACTTGGAACACTGAAATCTTTTTGTTATTATTATTGTAATCAATTGTATATTTAACTTTATGAAGTTATTACTAATATTTTTTAATTTTTACTTTTTAAATGTGGCTTTTAAGTAATCATCATTACCACTGTAAATATGTGAACTATCAAGCTAGTACACTCCAGCGTCCATGCAAACATAATTCAGATTTTGAATATGTATTTACACAAGAACAGTAAAATTGTAATTTCACATAATAATGATTAAAAACTGGAATAAATACATTTACTTCCACATACAAATCTAAAACTTATTTGAAATTGGATTTTGTGTGAATTGAAGATTTAAAGGAAGTTGTATTTATACTTTGGGCCGTTAACCTAAGTACTTTTTGATTGGAAAATGAATGATTCTGTCCCAGAGTGAGATGAAAAGATCGACTTCATATCAGTACAGAGCTGGAGAGATGTGGTTAGCCTAGCATAGCATATTGAGACATGACAGCTCTTCAGAAGTGAAGCTAAAACATCTCAATCGCCCTCTAGTGGCTGACTGCAGTATAGGTCATGAAGCTGGCTGCCTCCATGTTAGCACATGGGACATAAGCCAAACTAAAAGTACACGTCAAATTATTCTCTTTCAAAGATGGTTTCTGTCATTTTAGGTAGTTTTTAAACATGCCAATATATGTTCAAGTGTTCATTTTTCTGATACATTCAGTTTTAATTAGTTATTTGAAGCTATAAAAAGGGTTATGATGACTGACACCTGAGCCCTGCTTGTGATTGAGCTAGGGGTATGGGCAGGACTTCAATATTGCAGTTTTTTTTGGAAAGTACGAGGAAGTGGAGATGCAACTTCCATCTTTACATATGTCAATGGTTGTCACAGTGATGTTGCAAAGTTTAGTTTTGGTCTCTGTACAAGCAAAAAGGTACCAAAGGGTGTTCATTGGTACTACATCTATGTAGCATCTCTGCCTGTAGTACAGTTTCGATGGATAATCAATGAGCTTTAGAGCCGTTGGTAGGTTTGTTTTTAAACTTTGGCTGAGACAGGCTAGCTGCTTCCCCCTGCTTCCAGTTTGTATGTTAAGCTAGGCTAAGCACATACTGTCCCCATCTCTGTACACACAGAAATTACACTTATATTAAACTCCTCGTTTCACTCTAAGAAAGAATGCAAATTTCCAATATGTTCAACGACCTATTTAAGAAAACATCAAGACTGATGCATGAAATAGAAAACAATGATTTTAAAATATTTTAGAATCAGCAAATAACCTGTTTGCACAGAGGATTGAAAAAACATTTCTGGTCCATTCTGAAATGTACAGCAAAAATAGTTAAGTAAAATAATAAGGCCTAGTGTGCTTCTATAAAGGTAAATCATATACTATGGGATGTCAGTGTAAGCAGCCACAGTGGATGGTCCACAATGATTGGACTTTAAACCTGATTCTGTGCCCGTTGTGCCCTGTGCTGATCCCTCTGTGGTCCAGTTTACTGCTGGAGCGGTCACCCTCTACGCCTCACTGTCATAACTCAGTATGGGAGCCAGCCATCTCTCCACCTCTTCCACACTCATCTCCTTCCTCCTTGAATAGTCCTCCACCTGCAGACAAGAACAGGACAGAAAACACAAAGTCAGCCTGATTTTGTGTCCTGATTCATCTCTGTTCCAAAACCTACATCAACACATTTGTTACAACTTAAATCCCAGTCTGGATCCTCTGTTATTTGTGAGATATACGAGAGTCTCTATAGTGACTTAAAAGAGTACATTGAAACTCCAATGCAGACAGAGATTCAGGTGTGTTATGCAAACAGCAGCTAATGCAGCCTATATCCTGCAGGAGAGATGAGCTCACTTCTTTCTGACTCACTACCCCCAGATTTTGTTAATTTTCAAACTTTTAAACCCAACTGACGCCAACTCAAGTGATATCACTGGATACACTAAAGGCTTTGCACAACTTTTATCACACATGCAGTGGTACTCCACAGTAGTGATGGGCAGGACAGTTCTTTTCAGTGTACTGAATCACTAAGAATCGTTGTTTATTAAAGAAGAAAATATTCGTCCACCAAATTTTTCAGTGCTTGATTGGAGCTCAGATTGTAATCAGATGCATCATCAAAAAAGGGTGTTGCACAATGTACAATAGTATGTTATTTCAGCCACTATACAGACTGACTGACACCCCCCTCAATGTTTTTTACCTAGCCTTTCTTAGCGAGTGGCCTTAAATCATCTGTGATGGTAAGGTGCCACTATTTGAGAATTAATTATTTATTTGCAGACAAAATGTTTCTTTAAATTGGATTGTTGCGGCCTAAAAATGCCTCATTTCATGGCAGCTTTTCTAAAAAACTGTATTGCCTGCAACATCTGCATATTAAGTAATGTAAATATTAAATGTATAATATTTCAATCATTGTATTGATACAAGGTTATAATATTGTCCTCCTGAATTTTTATTTCATTTATTTTTTAATCAGTCTGCAAGCCTTGTCTAAAATGTCTCCAAAGAAAGAGGAAGTGATCTGTTAGGCAGTTGTGTCACAGGTGTCACAAGAATTCAGAAAACACCAACATCTACATGTCAGTGTGATGTTATAATAATTGGGACTTTCTTTAACATGAACATTTTCTAAAGAAGTTGATTGTTGGCTGAACCTGCTCCTTGGTGATCTTTCCCACAGCGAAATATGAGGCCTGAAGGTTGGAGAAGTAAAGTCCAGAAACTGAGGCAGCAGGCGTCATGGCCAGGGACTCTGTCAGACCAATACCTACACACGCAGAAGAATACACACACACACACGTAGTTATTACATAAGCTTACAGTCAGGAAAACATGTACCCAAAATGGCAGGTGATAGGACCATAGGATAGGAGTGCCAGAGAAGCTAACATGATTGTTACCTTTATAATGTTATTAGCATGCAGGGTAATTCTCCTAAACTGGAAAAACCTAAAGCCTCCCAGTTATATTTAGTGGTTAAGAGTTCAGTCTTACAGTCATATAGCACTTAAAACTGGAGACACTATGTTGAATTTAAGCTTTAAATCTCATACATAACTGCTGTCAGTCATTATTTAATCTTTTCATAGTGAATTCATAAGCACTTCCCCATTTTTATTTATTTTGTGTTTGTTTGTTTTTAACATTCTGTCAATTATTTATTACCTTTTTGATGTTTAATTTGTAAAAGACAAAAATGTAATTTGCATTTAACTGATCTGCAAAAGTGAAAAACAATGAACAGTTTAATTGTGCTCTGTAGAAAGCTGAGGGGAGCTGCAGTTGGATGATTCAAAAAGAGTTCGTCACAAAGAGCAACCCTTTCACTTTAGTCATTTGATCCATTCTTAATATAAAATAAATTTAGAAAAAGTCAAACTGATTTTTATTCATATTTATAATGTTTTTTAGCTCACATGATGACACAGATCTGATGTTTTGTCACCAGTATGAACAGCAGAAACCTACAGGGAGACAAACCTTCACTTTCCATCTGGACTAAACTGGGACGTGGTCCAACAACACATCACCGAGGTATGCTGTATGCAACTGTCCACATTGGAATTTGTCAGTGTTGTGATGACCAGACTAAATTTAATGATGGGTTTGGCACCAGCTTTGCTTAGGCAGCATCAGTCTGATGGACAGGATGCAACTATCAGAGGAAAGCTGAACAGAAAGCAATGACAAGCTGATATACAGTATACTGTATACCCAACCTTCAAATACAGACAAAGTAGACACATTTACATTTTCACATAGTAAACTCTAAACAATACCATTTTGTGCACACAGATTTAAAGTGCTCCTCGTGCATTGGGATCTTTAGTAACACACATCAATGTGGTGAGTGTGGATGTTCTAAATGGTAAGTCATTTTGCGATTATTTTGACAGATATGTCAATTGCAATATGATGCATGATTAGTGCAGAATTATCATTTTTGCATCACTGACTTCATCTTTACTGAAAAAACTATTAAAATCATGATGATGTGAGATTTCTTTGGGGTCTTTAGCAAACAAAAAATCTGTAAAACAAAATTTGTAGGCCTCTCTGCAGCACTACAGTACTTTATTATAATGCTGTTTGTCACACATTTTACCTTTATCAAGCTAATTGCAGCTTTTGGAAATTTGATTTATTGCACTTGGCCTATTATATATAACAGGTATTATAAATAACTTATAATAATTAATTAATAATTGATTAAATCTGCATTGACCCATACATGAACTTAAAGTTAATACAAATGATAAAAAAGAACATGATCAAATTCCATTTTCTTTTTCAGTCTTTAATTATGATTGTATGGTTTTTGTTATTCAATTAACTAATTTTCCCCTTATCATTTAACTTTACATTTCATGACCTCATGAGCACATGTGACCAGTATATCAGTGTGGATCTAAATTTAATACTTAGAAAAAAACGGTGTTGCATGCATGTTTTTATGCATTATTTCGCTAAGATTGAATATTCTCATTCCAGTGAGAATAAAATAGCACTGTTTGGACAGGGTAAATGTGAAGTGAGTTTGGTAACATATGGCTCGACATTTTGTGCAGGAAACTGCAATTATTGGTCAGATGTTTCAGTTTCAGTTTCAGTGACTGAACAAAACTGTATGGTTGCGCAGAACTGACAGAGACTGGTTTAATTTGTGTGTGCGATTGCAAATAACTTGTGCATATTATTTCAACTTTGGTTGAGTTCCAAATTCAGTTTTGAGGTCAGTTTTCAAATTCAGTTGTGAGGTCAGTTTTCAAATTCAGTTTTGAGGTCAGTTTTCAAATTCAGTTTTGAGGTCAGTTTTCAAATTCAGTTTCTCAAAATGTAGTCTCTAAACCGGATGTCCGCCTCCATGTGTTGGGGTGCATTGTTTTTTCCTTGTTTTGTTTGTTAATTTTGTTTTCTACTGTGATACCTTGAGCTCGTTCACCAGAGTTTATGAACACCAGGGGAACGACTCCAGCGGATTTTCCCCCCCACTTTTCTTGTCTCCTATGTGGAATTATCGGACATTGTGGTCAGAGGTGCGCTCCCCTTTGCTCATGCAGTGAAACGCAGGAGGAGAGAAAAACGTGCCGGTGCACTGGTGTGCCTCCGCCAGCAAGGACATCGCACACCATTACATGGAATATTTCTCTCAAACATGCGTTTACTGTGCAACAAACTGGATGAACTTCAGCTACTGGTGGAGAAAAACAGGGTTTTCTTCATCTTCTGTTTATTGCTTCATAGAGCTAGCAGGCTTCTAACTTTTCAGAGTGGATCGCTTCCATCCTCATCCTAAACACATGGCTATGGGCCTGGCTCGTAAAGGGTTAAATTTCACTACTACTGGGCTTCCGCAGAAATTCACTGCAGCTATTCACACTGAATAGAGCCCTAAAGCCATTATCCTGACATTCCTGCTGGATAAAGGCTTGGCATTCTCCACTGTAAAAGTGTACTTAGCTGTGTCAATGGTGCTTGATGCGCTGTCATGCCCACCTTTCAAGCCATTGCAGCAGGAAGAGCTTAAAACGCTCTTCTTTAAAACAGCCTTATTACTTGTGCTGGCCTCTGCTAAATGCGTTAGTGGCATCTAGGCATTGTCTGTAAATCCGTTATGTATGCAGTTTGTAATGGGGGATTCTACGGTGTTACTGAAACCTAATCCTGCATTTGTGCCAGGCAATATCATACCTCTGCCCGGTGTGGGCATTATGAGCATGTGTGGATAGGACAGCTGAATTCAGGAAATCAGAGGAGCTCCTTGTATCATCAGCAACACCAAATTTGGGAAAACTCTCACTGGATCGTGGGGGCTATTGCAATGGCCTATCATAGCAAAGGGTTTCTCATTCCACTTATGGAATGGCTACGTCCTGGGCATTGTTTTAAGGTGTATCTGTGTATGTGCGGCAACCAGCTGGGCACCGCTGCAAAGATTTTACAGATTGGATGTACCTTCTCTGTCTTACAGTCTTGAGCATGGGTGCAGTACCAGATATGCTTATGTTTTTTTTTTCCCAAATCTTTTTATTGAGATTTTCCAACACAATGACATATAGTGGTATCTAATAGTGTGGGGGAAAAAAAACATTTACAACAGTATGTCCAGATATGCTTATGTTTTCATGTCTTTGAGGTAAGCCTCCGAGGGGAGTCTCTATATCCCATAGTGAGATACCAAAACTAATGTTGAAGAAGAACTTAACCCATAGTTCTCCTTTAACATTAGTTTTGGTAATTATACCGGTTCTCTGAAACACAACCAACCTTATTTGCTTGGAGTGAGGAAGAAGTGTGCTTACTTAGACTGATGGGAGGACGTTATGTTGGGCTTTTAAAGTAAGTGAAAGTCCCTCATCTAAGGAGCACACGTCATGTCTGTCTGCTAGTCAGGACTGCTGTAGTGTGAAAGAGCTTCTGGGGATGCCATGAGGGATGTCCCATAGTGCAATACCTCACTCATGTTTCAGAGTACTGGGGTTCATTTCTTAAAGTGTTCCCAGCTAGATTTATCCTATTTCTTGGCAATGTGCACAGGTAATCAGATTTTTGATCAGCTTTTTACACGTGTGCATGTGCAGGGCAAACACTTCATGCAGGGAAAGTATAACAGCAGCTGAATGAAGTATGAGGTAATTATATGTAGTGTAGTATACAAATTGCATCGGAAGTCCAACAAAAACTTAACCTAAGTCTAAATAAGTCTATTTCTTCCAGTAAAGATTTGACTATTTAAGTCACGTCCGACACAATATCTTCTATCCTCGCAACAGCTTAAATACGCAAGTCATGCTTCGAAAATAAAAGCGGTAGAGGAGAAATGTACAGTATACACAGACTACAAAATTCCTAAAGAAATTTTGAGTGTGTCTGACACTGGTTTGTGACTCTGGCCCATACATTATTG